TGTTGATGAGTGTTTCGTGTTGGTGACGTTTGAGTGCACTGGCGTCAACTCAATGTTTCACTCTTATTTTAAGGGTAGATTTTACAATTTGTATGCACTCTTTTTATAGTTGACATAATTTGGGCAGCTATTTCAGGAAAATTTTCATCATAATAAATTGAAATTCCACTGAAACGTAATTAATAAAAGCCAAAATTATTTGTACATAAAATGTGAGTTTCCTTTACAAGTGTTTATGGTACAACATAATTTTCTTTTGCAAATTAAATTAATGAACGTGTAAATTACCAAAACCAACGTAAACCGTGGTGCAGTTTAACATGTCTTTACTGAGCAATATTTCGCGTGCATGATGCCGCTGCGCATATCGAGAACCACTATGAATCACTCAATGAAACGACCTGAAGACCTGAGTTCAAATCCTGCTAATCACAAATTATTTGTACAAAAGCCATACAATAATGCCGTGACTTATGAATTTATGGACCATCGTTTAGTTTTAGATATATATTTCTACAAAATAAACAGAATTCCTCTGGCCATATTTGTCTGAGAGCTTGCCCTTTATTTGAGAAACATATGCTTTGAAGGAAACTTCATTGATGTTAGAACTCACAGTGGGTTTCAGTGTCAGTTACGTCGCTTGTTGAAAACTTCTGCCAGAGTGTATATATAATGTTGAGACGAAATGCAGCAATCTTGAACTGACTAGGTGGTTGATGCCGAACACCACCGCAATGGCCATAATTATGCCAGCTGTGTTATAACAAATTCCCTACTCATGGATCCGCGCCGCGAGTGCTCTTGCGCCCGACGTCACCTCCCGTTTTCAGACAGATTCTGTCAACTGGCTGCAATTCAAGTTTATAAAACCCAATTTTTTTAAAAGATTGATAAATTTGTCAACTTTTTAAATTCAAACATTTTTCTGTAACTTGTCTCATATAAATACAAATTCACAAAACACACGATTGTTGAAATTTAAAAGTGAAAACTGTTAAACTCAAACTTAAATTACAAAGAAATGCTAAATTTATCGATTTCACACTAATAAATGTTATTTTAGAGCATACTTTGAAGAATTATATGACGAAATAAAAATAACCCTTTTGCTGTTTGTTACTTAGATATTAAGGAACGCGGCAGCGTTCCGCCCCGCCAAGTCCCCCAGCGGTACACAGCTGCTGCAGTGTATATATACATGACGTGACAAAGTGGCTTTTTTACTCGTCTATAGCTCTGAAGAAACAAAAGCTATTAAAATAATTGTTCATCCACTGGATAGGGGCAATCATTCTTGGCAAAATAAAAAAAAGAATTTAAAAAAAGGTTGTGTTTGAGCCAAGAAAAACTAGTTTGAAAATTCACAAATTTTCCGTGTTCTCCTTCTTCTCCTTAAATGTTGACGGACCTACAGCCCAAACCACTGGCTCAATTTTAATGTTTTTTATGTTGTTTGAAAGCCCTTAGCGTGTAGATGTGCCTTTTGAGGGTCACAAGTCGGTGCGTTGACCCATAAACCCTTGGCAAGCCCTCAAAGTACGATTTTGGCCCATTTAAATAACATGGGATTAAAATCAAAACAAAAGAAGGATCAGCTGCGATTAAATCTCAATTAATTTAAAATGTTAGAGAAATTCATAGGATCAGCTGAAAAATTATTTTAAAACTTTTATAAAGTATTTTTTTCAGGTATACCGAATGATTTGAGCTACTTACTATATAAAATTACTTAGAGCAGTGATATTCCCCGATACTTTCCATTGAAAAATGCAGTGTACCGATGGTACACTGGTACAGCAGCTCGTCATTTTTAACAGTTTAATACTACTTATCAAAACATATGAAACCTAGGAACTTGAAACTTAGTACTAGTACTAAGGTTAGTTTTAACATTGTTTCTTCATAATATTGCCAAAATTTATTTAACTAAATAAGGTTAGTTTTATGTTTTGATACACTAAAACAAATAAAACAATCGGGAAAATCCGTCTACGTATGTTAAACAAGCAAAAAAGTGAATGTAAAAAGTGATATGTATTTTTAGGATAAAAATGAGTTTTTCAATATTTGTTTTGCCTTATGCTATTTCTAACAAACCTAATCTGTTTGATTACATTTTTACTTCTCTAATAAGGGCTCAATTTACACTAGTCTTTAGATATACGGGTTTAATTATCGGAACACTTATGTAACACCAATGCATTTTATATGTAGTTGTGCCCTGGTCTATATATAAGAGAAAAGAGGATTTTTATTTTAACTGTTAATTTTCTACAAAAATAAATACAATCTAACAAAAAACCACTAAGTGGTAACACTTTCCCCGCCAAGTCAGCAACCCAAAAAAGACAATAAATCACCACTTTTCCGCCAAGTAAAACAATGTAATGTATGTAAGTTTGGCCACTTGGCGGCAGACTTTTGCTTGATCACTTTAAAAAATACCATAAAATTAGTTTCATTGAGCAAGTATCTCTCCCAATAGTACATTGCTAGATGAGAGCTTATTTTACAAAATTTGACCTTATTTGTGTCACATTTCATAAAATCATAATAGTGATGGTTTTATATTTACTGATTACCTCGAAATTATTATACTTAGTTGGACTAATTAATTAGAGAAGTTGATTTGTGAAATTATCCACCAACGTAACTTTAATGAAAAAAAACAAGCAAAAGTCTGCCGCCAAGTTGCCAAACTTACATACATTACATTGTTTTACTTGGCGGAAAAGTGGTGATTTATTGTCTTTTTTGGGTTGCTGACTTGGCGGGGAAAGTGTTACCACTTAGTGGTTTTTTGTTAGATTTTATTTATAAAATATAAAAAGGCTTACACATGTTAACTTAAAAGAGGAGTAGGAGGGGAAGCAAGAGGAGGAGGGGCGGGGACTTTTCAGATAATGTTCCTTATATGATCCATGAAGAAATCTGCCTTTCACTAATTAGTTCCGACCCAACACCTTTATTGAGTAGGCTATGTGGATTATATAATAACACCGTCTGCAAAGCCCTACGACGAATGACAATTTTCATTAGTGTCTCAATTTAAAAAATGAGTTTTCTTCTCCTTTGGTATGCATTTTATAAATTTAAGCTGTATTTGAAGATGACTAGCTTTACGTACATTAATTACAATTATTTAGCCATAAGTTTTATATTAGCCAGAGACATATTTCATCGGCCTGTTACTTTAGATTCAATATAAGCGGCTGGTCCCCATCTTTTATTTCTACGAAACTGCACTGCTTGTATAGCCAAATCTAAAAAAAAATTCTGGATGCAAAATTCCACGTTAGCGGTCTTACATCACCCGGCCCAAGTCACGGTCAACAGGCGGCATTGAAAGTGAAATCCCCCCATCGCAATGCTATTGTCTCCGCCCCTACACCAGTTGCTAATCTGCCCCTATCTCCCTCCCCCCGATGTATCGGAACCCCGGGTCAGGTGTTACTCTTTATTTCCGGTCCCCGCACTTCCGGCCCCGGTTGCCCAAGATTACAGTTAGCGGAGGGAGGGTAGGTTCTCACGGGGGATGCTGTCGGTTCCCAGGCTACCTTCACTTTCAACGGTCCTCAGGTGGGGGTGGCGCTGGTGCTGGTGTTGTGCAATGTCCAGCAAGTTGACCTCACCCCCACACCGGTGGGAGAGTCGGTTAGACCACTTTTTAAGGTGATAAGTCAGATACGGTATTAGCATAACCTTTGTATTTAAGTGAGTTTAAATTTACTGCCGTTTGCAGGTCTACCGAGAAGTATCCAAGACTCATTACTTATTCATAACTTCATAGTCAGTGGCAGATTAAAGCTGCATATAACGTTTTCTTTATTGTTACGAATCACCTTTATTATCTTATGATGAATATGTTGAATTGCCTTATTTACAAGGATCCAAGAAGGGCAGTCTAGGCCTATCTGTAAATTCTTAAAGTATAGCTTCAAGATACTTCAAACTTCATATAGCTTCAACATATTTTTGTTATTTTGAGACACCAAGGTTTTAGAGACTTTTAGAAGAGATAATTGAGATTTATTAACAGGGAAAAATGATAGGTTCTTCCAAAGTAACCGCGTATTACATGATAAAATACTAAGTAACAATGATTGTGTACTAATTACACCTTCCACATAGGTGTGCAGTTGTATGTTTTATACAAGTCTTGTAAGACTAGAGAGATATATATGCAGATTAATGTGTAAAAACTAGATCACTTTGTACTAAATCTAATAAGCTACATGCCCACGTCTCTTATTGAGCTGTAACAGTATATGAGTTCTGTTACTGTAGTATGGCCCTAGACATTTGACAACAGTGTTTCATAAGTAATCGTAGTTTAGATGGCTAAGTTGTACAGTAGATTAGAAACTGAAACTAGACTTCTCTGGGGTAGAAAGACGCAAGTAGGGCCTATCCTCAGGGCGGTGGATTCATTTTTGTCCAATTTGAGCAAAGTTGATTAAGTAGTGTTTGAGTTTATCTCATAAAAACACACAGATACACAGACAGACACCACCTCTTCTTTATAATAGTAATAAAATAATAATAAATGGATTCACAAACTTAATAAAAGTTCACAAAATTTACGAATATTAAAAAAAACTCATAAAACAAGAAGTGGAATAAAGTATCTGAAACCATTGACTATACGTATAGTCAATGCTGAAACTCATTACGTAACGTTGGCTATAAAATCAAATTATCAACTCATATAAAACCTATTGTTCAAAATGAATAAGTGAAACCAGTAAACTCGAAATGGAAGGGGCGCAGAACAAAGACAGGTTCTCCATTCAGAGCGGGGCAGAGTGTAGGTATTTACAATGTGGGAAAATACGGGATCCGGTAGCACCCTTCCCACGAGTGCAACAGAGAGCGAGATAGTCGTGCGCGGTCGTGCGACAAGGGGGGCCACGCGAAGGGAGGGGGGGCCGTGGGAGAATTTTTAGTTCCTGTGTTGGCATTTTTAAAGTTGAATTCACTAGACGCCGCCAAGACCTCGCTGGAAGCACGTCGTCTCCCGCGGTCTTACTTTCGTTATCAGCTGATCGATTGTTGCGAATGTGTTGATCATGTGTTGTGTTGGTGTGATGACTAGTTGAGTTGGTTGTGTTGTTGTGATATCTACAGTGTGTTATCACTGGCAGGATGCCCATCAGCGAGGATGAGATGGACCAGGGATATGTGTCACATCAGCAAGGATCAACGATGTCCAAAGCTGAACAGAGACGGGTAAGTAACATTGTTTTTGCTAATAGCTTCCACAATAATTTTTTTTCAGTGTTAAGGCTTGTAAGATTAGTACTCATCTGAAAAAAAAACGGTTACTTGTAGATGTTTACCCTTATCTGTGACATAAAATTACACAAAATTATTGATTGAACTAAATACATTTTATAAGAAAAACTATAATTCCAAAAATAAAATAACTATTTTTGTATAATCTTGAACGGGCAGTTTTGTTTTATTCAACCTAGTAAACACTACCGGTATGCATTAATGAGAATAGTATTACAGTATTTTACTGTAGATGTCAATATGATGATACCTTCTTCAGTTCTTCCCCTCTCTCTGTTGTTTGTTCTCATAAGATTTGATGAAACGTGCTTTAACACAACCAAGATTTTCAGTAATTTAAATAGGTATTAGAAACTTCTGTAAAGTTTTAGACCAAAAACTGTTTTGTTTGTTCGGTTCAATAGATATTAATACAGATTGTTACTCGTATAAACATCAATTTTCCACTGACTTATTACTAATCACACGGAAACTAAGAAGCATAATATCACCACTCATTCGGACACTACATTTTTTAAAGACAAATGCTAACATATTGACGTGATAGGCAAATGAAGAAAAGTATAGTTAAATAATTTACTTGGAAATAATTTAACTTGGTGTTATGAAATATTGTATTTAAAAGTACTTGGAGTTATGAAAACTTGGTGTTATGAACCTCACCCTAAAATATTATCCTTGCTAGCCAATAAAAACCTCTATTTACTCATTGACTTGATTGCGTTTGTGTAGTCCATAGGTAGATATGCTGTGGGTGGTGGAACAGAACCACTAACATTGAATACTGCAAAATAAACATTGATCTTCGTTTTATTGTGGAATCGCCTTAAGAATTTTTAATTAATCTTATTTTTTTCGTGGTATTAAGAATTTTTGTTTGGTTTGGATCCTGACTTGAGTCAATTTGTGAAACAGCTTTGATTCACTCATGAATAAAAACTTTATTTATTTGTAAATACAGCTCTGAAGCAGACGGATCTATTTTTGAATGAAGATTAGTTTTTTCCTGTTTTCCGTCCTAGAGGGTTGCCGCATTATCACATGAATAAAATCTATTGGTGATTGGCAGGATTTGAACCCTGGAGCTCGGGCTCTAAAGCCCCACGCTTGACCACTAGGCCAGCCCCATTTTTTTTAAAGATTAGTAGTAAGGCTAGATAGTTTAGTGGTAAATACATTTCTCTGTCTTGTTGGGCAAATATTATTGATTTACTCTTTGATTGTAAATTGTTACTCTTGTTGTACAGCAGGAGGTTTTAATTTTGGTGAAATAACAAGAGATAAATTGTAGAAATATCTATATAGGTCTACACGGGACAGAAAGCCTTAAAGCCGTGTCTTCGGCTGATTTATAAGGATGACAAATCTATAAGAGGATATGTTTGATATGTAACGCCCATTGATTTGCTAGAACGCCTTTCAATAGGCCTTACAGTATTTTGTTTGAAAATATTTGATTTATAATATTTATTGGCTGTCATTCATTCACTGGGTGGAACTGGATTCCCAAGACTAAGTCATGTAAATCCGTTTGAGAATGTGTCCTTGACCTCCTCCTTGACATATTCTTCGTTCCTCCCCTATTCTCAAAGCCTCCCCTCGGCACGCGCCAGTTCCTTCTTCCTTCTTCAAAAAACCTGATCACCTTCAACGACCTTCTCACAATGAAAGTGTTATAAATTACTGCGCTGAACTAATACTTTCATAATGTCAGCGTTTCTTATATTCAAGTTAAAAAACCTCTCAAACCCCTTAAGCGTCAATTGGTATTGTATTTCATTATGTTCATTCGTAATTCCAAATTTTTTAATTTGTGATAGGTAATAATATTTTCATATTTGGTATTCTACAGCTCTTCAGAATATCAATTTCGCAATGTGTCGCAGACTTTAAGTAATATTTGGTACAGTACGTCGACAGCTAATTACTATGTAAATATAACAATATGTCCCAGAGTGATGACGATGACGTGGTCTCATATGTATACAGCTCAGTGCCAATGTAACAATATGTCTCATAACATTGTAACATAGTCGAGCTGTAGAGTGATGGCTGGCTTTCGTCTGTTGACAACTCAATATAACGTCAATGTAACATTTCACAGATTGATGGTGTAATCTCGTATGTCTGCAACTCATAATTATGTCAATATAACGATATGTCACAGAAATTGTTATTGTTACATCTCGTATGTTTACAGTTGATCAAGCAATGTGTCACAAAATGATGGTGAGATCTTGTATGTCTACAGCTCGTCATGATGTTTAACGATATGTCACAGAGTGATGAGATCATGTATGTCTACAGACTTCAGCTCATATGTCACGTTTCAGAGCAACAAGCCCATCATGGAGAAGCGACGGCGAGCTCGCATCAACCACTGTCTCAACGAACTCAAGTCCCTCATCCTGGACGCTATGAACAAGGACGTAAGTAACCCCCTCCACATTACACAGTGAAAACAAGGATACTTTACCATATAGTGGTACTTTGTCCCGATTTGGCTCTACTGCTAATATTCTTACCTTACCTTCCTAAAAACATGGTTTGTTAGGGCTGCATTTACAATCCTTTTTGCAAGGAACATTTCCTTCAACAAGACCTAGTAATATAGTATAGGCTATTAAGTGCAATTGCATAGGGCAAATATTTTACCATTAAAATTGTACCGAACATTTTCTTCACAATCAACACTATAAAACATATTTTGCATTTAGATGTAACAAATTGAAGATTGATGAGGGATTAATAGATTATGTTTTGTAGCTATAGTTTGAAGTTTCCAACTAAGAATTTGAATTTGAATTACCTATTGAATGATTGAAGGATTTAACTGATGGATTGCCTAACCTTGACAGTAAGAAGAGGAAGGAGCTGGGCTTCAGTTGTTTTGTGCCCTGGATTTGCTTTGTCAAGGGGGGGGGGGTCCTGTCGTTCGTCGAAGTATTTCAAACTCTATTGTAAGACAAATTAACGCACAAGTAGGGCCTACTTTCATAGATTAAGCAACACAAGGACTAAGAGAGTATGTTTTATCTATGGTACTTTGCAGTAAAGAAGGATTTTACAGCTTGGATTATCTGTAGCGGCTGGTTGAAGAAGCTATGTAATATTTAGTAGAGTTGAATGTGTGATAAGCCACAGTAAATAAATTCATTTGCAATCAATTTGATCAATATGCTGTGTCCTGGGTATTGTATAATTTAAAGCAGCATAAAGTATTAAGTTAACTGTTTAAATTTAAAACTCTTAAATCTCAAACATTTTTCAGAATTCTATTAACGAGAAACTAAAGGGGAGTATTTGTAAACAATTTCACTAACTTACAAATTTAGACTGTATATTTGTATTTTTTCTGATTCGAAAATATAACTCTAATATTTTTTTAGCTGCAATTAAAAAAAATACGGTTAGCGAAAGTCAATACCCTTCAAACTTTCTATACCGTCAGACGATCTCTTCCCACCACTCAATACACCACATAGTCATTAGCTCAGTCCGAGAACGCCTTGACACCTTGTACTGAGATAAGACGCTCAGTCTTGCATAGTCGGAAAGGCTTCAGTTACAATTCACCATTCTTGGAAGTGGAACCCCTTCATTGAGCTGGTGACCAAGAGCCGACCACACGCGTAGAAGGGTGGGGGAGGGGGGAATGGAAGAAACAGAACTAGGGTCGTGGGAAAGTGGCAGAACTAGCCTTCACGAGCAACAAGAGTGAGATGAAGATATGGAGCCGCCACTAGTGCGACAGAGAGGGCAGACGCGTGGGAGTTAGAGAGAGACGGAAAGTGTGGGAAGACGACTGTTCTCACGTCACAGAAGCCGCCGACACGACCGCTGATAACATAGGTCGTCTGATAAGAGGCAAGGTCATATGCTCCAGCAGACAGCAGGTGTTTGGTGGATGAGAACTCTACCAGTTTGTTTTGAATTGTGGCAACGCTATAGGGAGGCCTCGAATATAAGAAAACTATTTTAATGCTTAGGAGACCTATTAATTTGGGTTTTTTTAAAGGTGGTTGACTCTAAATCATCGAATCACAGCTTAAAATCATTGGTGACTGTTGGGATTCTAACCCGCACCTCTTTGATAGAAGTCCCACTGGAACATTAACCCAGTTGCACCCATAAATAATATAATTACCACTAATAGATTAACATTTTTCATGAACACAGTAACATTTATGAAACAGAATGGTTATTAAATCTTTTGTTATACAAATGCTCTCTTTGTGTGTCATATATTATAATGAATTTACCTAAACTGAAACTACTGTAATACCCTAAAATTTGTTTTAACCTGTTTAACAGTTTTCGCCTGATGTAAGGTGGTATGCCTACATATTTATTGAACCAATTACAATTCTTTACAGTATTCAATACTTTTCAGCACTAATCAAACTAATTGTAAATTTTTATCGCCAAACTTTTTCCATGGTGTACCGTATTTTTAGTAATTTATTTTTAAACTTAAGTACATTGTTCATAAAATAAATTTAATACCTTCAGTTTGGTACAAAAATTAAGCAATAGACTATTGTTTGTTGAAGTAGTTTTAGAACATTTTAAGAAATATTGCTCGGTATATCTTAAAATTATGTTTTTACTGTTCCTTTTATTTTATCATTGTAGACAAAAAAAATGTTGTTTACTAGTTTAAGTATTTATTTTCATATTAAAGTAAGTACTTAAAACTTTTTTTCACATACAGTTTAACATAAAAATGTTCATTTAATTATTTTTTACTTTAAATGCATGGTTTTCATTAAAAATAAAATATAATATTGTCACACTACTCAGCAAGCAGCTTCATTCCTAGACCAGAAAGTCGTTGTTTACTGAAAGGGACCGGGAAAGTCAGCTGGAGTATGGTAAAGTCACAATTCGAATGAGGAGAGTCATAGTGTTGGGAGCATTTACTGTATTAATTAATGTATACACAGTATTATACAAGATGCATCACGATCGATAGTGAATATTGTGAAATCCAACATTAAATAATAGTTAAGTCAAAAGAAATTATCCTTAATCTGCAGCCTGATTGATACTGTAAATCTAACAACCTGTATGAGTTAGAGAAGTCCACGTTTTTGAAAGCGGTGAAATTAATGAAATGATTAAACTATTGTAAGGCTAGTGATGTAGGCTGGGTAAATACCCAATGGGTAAGGTATTTATAAATTGGTATCCACCTAGGTAAATACCCAAAAGTGTGGGTATTTAAATAACAAGTTTAAACACTAGAAATGTTTTGCATAGTTCATTGGATTTGAGTAAAAAAATTATGGTTATTTATTTGTTCAAAAGTATAGTCATTGACGTTGTTGATGGTATAGTTTATTGTCTTATATGGTGAACTAAAAACTCAAGAAACTCACAAAAAAATACAAGCACACTGAAAACTGGGTATTTATGATTTGTAATAGGATTGACAATTTTTAAAGATTTTCTAGGGAACCAATGATAAAAATGATGATTTTTATATTTACTCTCCTACAAAATGCTGAATCGTTTCTTACCCATAATCACATTTCATGAAAAGAATTTTAAAATGTGAATTTACTTGAATTATATAATGAAGATGGATAAACAAAGTTGAATACAAGCAAAACATAACACTTTTACTCCTCACCGGAAGAATGAGTGTTTTAAAATAGTCTAGGCTGCACATTGTCTCTTGAATAAAATTTTAAATTTGTCAATTTTGTTCCAGCCTGCTAGACACTCGAAGTTAGAGAAGGCAGATATCCTAGAGATGACAGTCAAACATCTACAGACCATACAACGCCAGCAACTGTCGCTGGCGGCCGGCGCAGACCCCACTGTGGTCCAGCGCTTCCAGTCTGGCTTCACAGAGTGCGCCGGCGAGGTATGTATGGTGTCAAATACATTATAGAACAACGTTTATAAGTTTTGTGTTGTGCAATGTGCAGAGACTATTCTATTTTTATTTGAGAAATAGCAACCCTCAAACCAGCAATCCTCAGATTTGAAGGAGAGGCCGTCCTGCTGGTCTTCTGCCTTCGGGGTTTCTATCAAGTATGTTCCTCACTGCAGTTTTGCTGTCTTCTCATAGTATGTCCAAACCATCTCAACCGTCTACTACTTTTGACTTCCGCTACGATGTCTGGGTCTTTGTAGCACTCCCTAATCCTAATCTCGGTGTTACGGTATGTCTTCTCCTCCATACTCCATCCTCGAGCGCCGGGCAAAATATCTTTATAAGGACTTTGTTTTCAAATATTATTTTCTGTTCTGTCTTTTTGCTCATTACCCACGTTTCTGATCCATATTGTATAACCGGCCTTAATATTGTTTTGTAAATACGTAATTTGGTGTTGTGGGAAAGGGCTCTGTTGGCTGAATTTAACCTGCTTATTATTTCTAATTCTTCATTGTTATTGTCTGTTATTAGTACTCCTAAATACTTAAAGCTATTTACACTTTGAAAAGAGAGGTCCTCTATCTGCAAGATATCATCTTCATCATCTGCTTCTTGGACATCTCATCTTCCACACTTCATGAATTTTGTATTGTTGTCATTAATTTTTAGGCCTACTTTTCCTGTTTCTTCAATTATTATTATCATCCTTCTTATTTGCCATTATGACCACGTCGTGTGCGAAGGCTAATATGTTTATTTTTCCCCAATATTGATGTTTTTTTCTGATGATTTCACTTTTTGTAGCGCTTCTTCTAGGGTGATGTTAAAGAGCATCGGTGATATCCCATCTCCTTGTCTTATGCCGGTATTTACATTGAATTCCTTCAATAGTTGTCCTTCTACTTTAACTTTACATTTTGAACCCTTAACACTCAACTCAATCTTGTGATTAATTTATTACGTATACCGGTACCAACTTTTTCCATTATTTCCCATAATCTATTTCTATAAATGCTGTCATAAGCTTTAGTGAAGTCTATAAAGATGCAATAGAAGGACTGCTTATACTCATGATATTTTGCTATTGCTTATTTCAGTATGTAAATTCGGTCTGTTGTTAACTTTCCTTTAGTGAAACCAGCTTGGTTTTCTCCAATTATAATCTATGAGTATTCTTCTAGTGTTGTTTGTATTATCTTCGATAATATTTTATACGTTGTGTTTAAAAGGGGGATACCTCTATAGTTGTTGCAGTCGTTCTTATCACCCTTTTTATAGAATTATTATTTACTAAATCTAAAACCAATGTCTGCAGACCAGAAGATTTTTTCAAAGCAACTATTACACAATTAATTGCCAAAAAATATGAAAAACCTAATGGAATGTTGCAGGTAGGCCGATACATTGGCCGACTAGATGGAGTAGAAGCTGGGGTCAAGCAGAGGTTGGTCAGCCATCTTGCATCTTGTGTCAATGGTCTACAGCAGATGGCCACACCTTCGTCTCAGGTACGTATGGGTTGTGTTAGGTTATACTGGTTATACTAAATACCTCACCTCTCTATGTGGCGACAATGTGGCTCATCAAAGTGGATGAAGAAATAAACCTTTACAAAATATGTACACTATTTTGACACATTATCTTAACACTGCAAAATGTTTACTACTTTATGAATCCAACCAATGCTATACAAGAGCAAAAGAAGGATCAAGAAATCAGATGATTACCTTATTTTATAAGTGTTTAGTAGAAGGTGCAGTTTACCCTTAAGGCTTCAATGACTAACACATTTTATTAGCCTATGAAAGTTTAATGGTTAAAAGCTATACTTTGACATGTGAAGCAACCTGGGAGTCAAGTTTCTCAGTTTTACCCTTGCACGTATAGTTGACGAGTGCTGTTAGTGAGGTAGACTGAGGGAGTCTGATCAACATCTTAGTGCTCTAAGGCCTTGTCTCTCTGGCCAAGAGGCAGCATATTGTAGATTGAAGGATCGAACCCTGTGTCTGTCAGGTCTGGTGTGCAAACTATGAGGAGTTCAACTACCTCTGGTAGACTTGGTTTGGGAAGCTACCTAAAATAAATGTTGAAAGGCTCAAGTTTAAGTTAAAGGGGATGATGATTCTTTGTGAGTTTCATCTCAGATCAAGAGTTTTGTCACTATTTGCTTGGCCTTGTGTATATTGGTTTCATTCATTCACCTTATCTAAATTTTGAATTCACTTAGCATGTTGTAATGTTACAGACTGGTCCTCCAAGTAGCCGGCCATCTTCAGAAGATGTGAATAACAACACAGCGTCTGCCAGGCTGCAGATGATGACAGGGCTACAGCTGATCCCCAGCAGGTTGCCGTCCGGAGAACTGGCGTTGCTGCTACCCAACTCCCAGCATCTGCCTTGCTTTCCCCCACCCCTGGACAACCAGGTGACCACCACCAGTGAGCCGCAGGGTCGCCCCAGTGCCTTCACAGCGGTCGCACGGTCACGGTCGCCTCCTGTCAGTCCATCCTCCACCACGATGTCCAGCTATGGTGAGGAGTCTTGTGACCAACCCTTCCCCAGCCCTGAGGTCTCCTCCACGTCCGAACACCACCAGGACTATCCTCCGAGAGAACCACAAAATTTAAAAGAACCAAACAGCTTTACAAGTTTCAATGCACCGATTCAACCCTTGACTGTTATAACTTCAGATGAGATGCTGAAAGCCTTTCCACAACGTTATACTGATCGAAAACCCACTTTTAAGGATCCTTTAGACTACTCTGTGAAAAAAGACTACATTCCTCATCCAGTTAAAAGACCACTACCGAATGAATCCAACTTATTGATTGAAGCAACTGATTACCAACCTCCTTTAAAGGTACAAAAAACTTTCAGAGAAAATTTACCTCAGAATAATATCTTTGAGGAGAGAAAAAGTTTGTTTGAAATTCAAAATAAATCACACACTGTTATCACCCACCATCGAAATGATAGTTCACTTGACAGAAAAAGTCTGCTTGAAATTCAAAACCAACCATCTACCTCATCTTCACAAGTTTCTCGTGATATGTGGCGACCTTGGTGACTTCCGATTGTGTTGACATATATTGTATATAAATTTATATTTATTTATGTTTTATTTGGTTTTATATTCTTCACATACTGTCTTTACAACAAATTGTATATTTTGGAAATAAAAAAATATTTTATAAATTTTTATAATCATTCCTATAATAACTTTTTTTCTCATGATATTATTTTCCAAATAAGTTATCAGAATATTATCATTGACTATTATTGATAGTCAAAGATATTATTTATTAATCATCAGTGTTCACCATATCCTTATATGAATTTCCAATTTCATTGTTATTTTAAATTTAAAGCATTCTAGAATAATGTTAAAACATCAAATTTTGGTTTTTCTAGTGGAATAGGGAAGATAGTCCTAATGTTACAGATGTGGTGCAACAGTATACAGAGTGGGGAAAAAGTCCAGGGAAGATTAAATATTTCAAAAGGTGATAAAGATATAGCTTCAAAACTTAGTACACAGTTCCTGGGCATTAACAACACATTATTCAGTGATACACTACCATCCTCAGGGGGACGGCCCGCTAAGAGTTAAAATAAAATCTTAAATGCAAGCATAGGTTGAATGTATGCACGTCAATTTAAAGGCTTTTATTACAATACAATGCCGAAAATTTTAACTCAAAACGGTCAACTAAGTCAAAAATGACGTTTAAAGATTTCTTAAATCTGCCATTTTGAATCTTTGAGCGGCTGCCATTTTTTACTCAGTAGTTCTTTGGAGCTCAAATTTGCGGCATTGTATTCTACCAACAAATACATTTAATTTTATGTGGACATTGACCTGTGCGTATGTATATGATTTTCTTCTGGTAGTACGTAATGAAACCCCGATTTGATTAAACACTAATTTCACTAAGCACTAATTTGGACTAATTTCATGTGTGGAAAGTCTATTAAAACAGAGCAGTGTGGCAAAAATGTTTTTGCCAGTTTTAAAGACAAAATGGAACTAGTTGATGTGAGCCACTTACAGATTTACGCTGATAAAATAGAATTTTACACACTAGTGCAATCTGTAACTGACTTACAGAAATAAGTTCTTTTTTGCTTAAAAATTAACGACTGCTGGTCCATCTATAGCTAGGATAACATACCTACTTCAGTATCTTAAAGTCGAAGTTCAAAGCTTCATCTAGTTAACTTAAATCTAAGCAAATAGCTGACAGACTGATAAAATGGAATTTTACACACTAGCGCAATCTTTGACTGACTTACAGAACTATGTTCTTTTTTGCTTACAAATTGACGACTGGTGGGCTATCTATAGATAGGATACCTACTTTAGTATCTTAAAGTTAAAAGTTCAAAGCTTCTAGTTGACTTAAATCTAGGCAAATAGTTGACAGAAAATGGATGATTTTTAAATAAGTACCTGTTAAATTAATTTTGGACTTCTATATAATCTCTTCGTTTTATTAACTCACGTAGTACTAAACAATCAAGCAGCATAGAGACCAAATTAGTGCTTTCAGTTATTACAATCAGCACTATAGTCCTCGCCACCCTAAGTTGAGGCAGCCCAAGGCCGCACGGCGTATATCTAGTGCGGCCTTTGGCTGCCTCAACTTAGGGTGGCGAGGACTATAGGACCCTTGTGGAAAGAAATTAGGAACAATAAACTACCAGTAAAATAAAACATCACTTTTTAATAAAATCACATCAACAGACACACATTAAAACTAAACTTGTTAACTCATTGCCACCCTCTCAATTTACACATTTATTTCCTGAGGCTCTATGCTGTTGGGAGGAGATGTCTGGCCATCCAGCTCTGGTGATCCGTTTCTTGGAGTGTCTAAACTTTCTAAAAAGTCACCAAAATTGACTGATCTATACCGCTCCTTAAGCACCTTCATTAAATGTTTTGTATGCTCAAGATCACGAGATTCACATACAATTTTTACCTGTAAACATAATGTAATGTAAGGGGAGGGACTGAAATTTTGTAGGTAAGTGGAAAAGGGTGTATTTGTAAAGAATAGTTGTAGCAAGATATTTAATAATGCACAGCAATAGATTGAATACCGTACAATATATATGAATTATTAATGTAACAAAGTACACTGGTATGAGGAAAGTTGGCCAAAATATTCAAGGTTAACCTTCTTGGAGGTGTTCATGAAATTCAACTTTCAGAAGTTCAATTTTTTATAACACCAGGTTTATTATTTTTCTTCGGAAAATAAAACAAAACATAAAATATCTGGGTGGTTATAGATCTTGCCTACGAACTAGGAGGTCGCCAGTTTGAGGCTGATAAAATTAAGTAGTAAGCTATAATTTCATCCATCCAACACTCATCCTTCAGTTATCATAGCTTCAAAACATGCACTTTGTTATGTCGCCATTGTAAAAATCCAACATAATTTTTTTAATGTTTCCTTTCAAAGTAAATGTGTTGTCATTTTAGGTTTTGTATCTGCATTCTCCATGTTTAGTTTGTTGTTTGGATTTGTTAAGAGAACCAAATCTCATTTTGTGTTGTATTAAATACTTCAGATTTGTCATTTCTGAATTCCATTTTTCCGTGATATTACAAGTTAGTGAATCGCGTACAGCGACGTAGAGATAAACCTTATTCATCTAGCTTGTGGCAGCAAGGTGGTCACCCCGGCGCCTCAGTAGCAGTGGCTTTGGGGGTGCCAGAGCTGATTTACCGAATAGGCCCGGTAGGCACGTCCTTAGGGCGTGAGGCAATTAGCTTTTTCAGGGGCGCTAAAAATTTTGAAAATAAAAAAATTGGTGGTTGTATTTGCATGCAAATACAACCACTTACAGTTATGTTTACACTTCACTGAAAGAGATCCATGTTGGAAGAAGACCTCCTGGGCGTCCCAAAATGAGGTGGAAAGATGAAGTGTCCAAAGATATGAGGAAGATAAGAATCATGGAGGAAGATGCTGAAGATCGGAAGAAATGGAGGCAGTTAGTTGGCGAAGCCAAATACCACCGATCAATGGCCATGGGAGTAAGAGTAAGTAAGTAAGTATTTGCATGCGATCGCGGTAAATTTATGATAATCCCTCGCAGCCGTGTAGACATCGTAATATTTCGTCTCCCGCTATTGCAGCTAAATTCTCACCAATCTCCGCGGTCACCCGAGCTCGATCGTGCAGACATAATTATCATCTTCCATGATCGAGGCAAAATATGAACATTTCCCGCGGTCGTGAGGAGATTTTCATCGTCTTGTGCGATCGCGATAAAATTCTGATCATCCCTCGCGGCCTTGCAGACATCATTATATTGTTCCCTGAGGTCGTGTGGACATAGTAATCCCCTCCCGCGATTGTGTCAAAATGGCAATCATCTCCCACGTTTTGTGGAGATAATCATCGTCTTACGCAAATGAGGCAAAATTCTGCCCTTTTCCCGCGATTGTGTGGACACTATCATCGTCTCGCATGATCGCGATAAAATTCTGATCACCCCTCGTGGCCATGGAGACATCATTATATCATCCCTATATCATCCCCCGCGGTCGTTTGGACATAGTAATCGCCTATCACGATTGTGGAAAAATGGTCATCTTCTCCCGCGGACAATTGGAGATCATCGTCTTCTGCGAATGAGGCAAAATTATGATCTTTTCTCGCGGTCATGTGGACATTATCATCGTCTTGCACGATCGCGGCATAATTCATATCATCCCTCACGGTCGTGTATTATTGTATCTCCCGCGGTCCTGTAGACATCACAGTCGTGAAGACATCGTAATCGTCTCCCAAGATTGCGGTAAAATGTTAATCATGTTGCGGAGTCGTGTGGAGATCATCATCAATGTCTTCTGTAATCGTGTCAATTTTCTGATCATCCCTCGCGGCTCTGTAGATATCAATCATCATCGTCTTCTGCGACCGCGGAAAGTCCTGATCATCTCTCACGCTGCCCACAAGCTTGAGGGATCAAACACCAAGTAAGAAAATCAAACTCAAGCCGAGATTATATGATTGCAAAGTTTTGGCTATTGCAAAACGTGTCTGCGATCAATAACAATACTTTTTTCTGTGGAAGACGATGATCGTGTTTCTGGGATCATGGGGGGTGGTCAAGGTTTGGCTGCTGGCCGATTTGGTGAATGATTAAATATTTTTGTTACCGTAGGAGGTATTTATGATTTTGCTGCGTTCATGGAAGACGATGATAATGACTATACGACCGCAGGAGATAGTCTCGATTTTGTTGCAATCGGGAAGAACCATATTGATGATTGATGCCACATGACCGACAGAGATAATCTCAATTTTGTCTCAATTGCAGAGGACACTGATGGTCATATTCAGAATTTACCGGGATCGTGGAGGACGATGACGATGTATTAGACAGATGCACAACATTGCCACGAGCATAGCTCATTGTGTGTTTGATGGGGCCTGACAACATCCTGCCCCAGGCGCCAACAAACCATACGAAGGCCCTGTGTGGCAGCTAACTTCTGAATCCTTAAAAATCGTTTCAAATCAATTCATTTAACCCCTCACATTAGCTTTAAAATATGTATCTTGCCGTGTTGGTATCTCAATTTTATCTGATGAAGTTTACCTAAAATTACTTTAAGTAGGTAGCTAATTAGGTTAGTGACGGTATCACTTTGCTAACCAGTAATTTATAAAGGTCAGTAGACCAGCATTCTATGTAGCTTCACCGAATCTCACCTTGACACTGAACACATCGTAAGTAATCCAGGCTCGCTCGTGCAGGATATCTTTAATGGACACTCCAGTGTCAGCTAGCAGTCGACACAACTCTGCAATGCCTCCTGGCCGATCACTGGCCACCACGGAGAACTTGAGTAGACGGCCGTCTGCTGTCAGACCACGGTCCAGACACCGGCCCAGGATAGTGGTGTCTATGTTGCCTCCACATAGGATCAGCACCACTCTGTGGGAACAGTCACACACACATATGTCACACTTGAATAGTAAAAATAAAATTGAATTTTTGTAGTAAATTAAATTATAACACTGTTGGTAGAATACCAGCAGGAAGGCCAATGCT